TGGGAAAAATCGGTTCAAATTTAGATATAGCTTCTATATATATTTTCGTTCGATTTAATGTATATGGCGCACCAAAGTCTCTATATATCTTTCGATTTGCACAAAATTCGGCATAGCGTACTGAATTGAGTCTAGAATGATGTGTGCTAAGATTCGTGAAAATCGGCTCCCATATTTATTTTCGTCCGATTTAATGTACATGGTGCACCAAAGTCCCTATATTTCATTCGATTTGCACGAAATTTTGTATAGCGTACTGAATTAAGTCCAGAATAACAAGTGTAAGTTTCGTGAAAATCGGTTCAGATTTGGATATATCTCCTATATATTTTTTTCGTTCGGTTTAATCCAAAATGGTACACCAAAGTCCCTATATATCTTTCGATTTGTGTTTAGTTTCGTGAAAATCAGTTTAGATTTAGATGTAGCTTCCATATATATTTTCGTCCGATTTTAAGTAAATGGTCCCCAACTGCAAGAAGTTGAGGTTAGTATGGTGGATTCCATACATCATTTTAAAGAGTATATTCTTCAAGATTCCAACATATTTGCAAAGTTTTAAGTTTTTTTATTCACTTGATAATCGATATCCTTGTTGAAGAGTTCCTCTAGTTCGTATGACACCTTTCGTTAAATAAGGCGCCTGAAAGTATGCAAAAAATAATTGAAAATAAATAATTTAGGTCTAGTTTTAAATTGCATTGAATGAAAAAGGAAACCAATAAGAAAAGGCCAAATGAGACGTAAATTTTTAAAATATTTTTCTAGAGAACAACAGGACGTGGATTTTTAAAATAATATTTTTTGTAGAAACCAATAAGGCGTGGATTTTTAGAATATCTTTTTAAAGGCCACTTGAGGTGTGGATCTTTAAAAGAATATTTTTAGAGGCCAATTGAGGTGTGGATTTTTAAAATAATATTTTTCTAGAAGCCAACAGGGCGTGGATTTTTAAAATATTTTTTTAATATATATATATATATATATATACGATATATTTTGCTATTCAATATTTTATCTAATTATAAAAATAGTTATAAGATTTGTCACATACTACTCAAACTATTTAGAAATTATTTATTTACAAATACGCTGTGTGTCATTCACCGTCTATGTCAGTATAATTGTTGCATCACAACCTAGTAGTAGTTTTATAAAAAAAAGGAAATCGTTGTTTTTATTGTTTATAATGCACTCACATTTGTTTTTTTATGAGAATATTTCCAATGCTGCTACTAAATATAGGGGGAGGAAACACCCCACCTCAATAATGAAATTTCTCTCTTTCGTAGAGGTACACTCTCTCCGCTCTGAAACCCCATAACCAAATGCCAGATTGTTGGTGGTGAATGAATTCTGAAATTCGTGGGGTCTGCTTGTCTCTTCATGTATTCATTCTCTTATTTATGGCGGCTTTTTAACTCATGCTCGCTGCTGCTCCCTGGGTCTTTGCGTGTGGTGAAGTTTTCAAAACACACAACAGTCGGTTTTGGACTACCGAGAAAAAACGTAGTATTCGAAAAACGAGGGGGAGAATGCGTAAAAAATAATATTGTTTTTTTTTTTAGTAGAGTGCATAAAAATTGTAGGTGAGAAAGCTTGCTAGTGCAAAAAAAATACAAAATTTAAATAATGTTGTAATTATAAAAACAGTGCTGCGGAATACGAAAACAATTGCTCACCCCATTTGAAAAGTGGCGTTTTGTAAAATATATGTGTAAAAAAATACCGGTGGTCTCATACATCCATCATTTTTGTGTGTGTGTTTTTTTTAATTGGCAAAACTTGCTGTGTTGCAGTATAACAAAAACTAATACATCATTTTGTTTTGGAATATTAAAATAAAACAACAACCCGACCCACAACAATAATGAAACCATCAATTTGATGACTCAATAAACATGAAATTGTTGGCTCCGGCAGTCTACTTTTTTTTGAATATTATTTTTGCTCACCTATTGTTAAAATAAAAGAAAGAAAAAAACAAGGAATTTAGTTTTTGTTTCTGTGTGTACATATACATGACATAGATATATACATATAACTAATTCCATATAGTTTAATAGACAATACATGTACATACATATTTAGAACAAGAAATAGATATACAAATGTGTTCCCACACTCAAAATGTATAAAAGAAATTTATTTTTTTTTTAGTAAATATTGTCACCAGAGCATAATTTCGTCATCAACCTCAACATCATCATCTTGAGAATTGAATTTACCAAATGTGAATGTATGTATGTATGACAAGATACTGGAATGTATGTCAAACACTTAATTCATATTTTTCTGAGGTAACTAAAAGGTGTAGCTCACTTCGTATATAGTTCTAACTCTTTAACCTTGAAACAACTAGAAGCGCCATAAATGCCTTTTTTTGTTAGGAGGGGGAAACCATTTCACCATGCATTATTTTCCAACTAAAAACAAATGTTTCGGCGCCAGCGGCATTTATATCTAACAAAAAACGTGATAAAACATTTATTGTTTACACGCCTAACATATGTAGATACATAACAAATGATCTAATTACTTAAAAAAATATATATATCGGAAATCCCTAAAAATTGACACAAATTTGATAATGAGTAAGAATTTTAAAGCCCATCTTTGATTTATTATTTTTTTTTAGAAATTCTTGCAAATCGTTTAGATAAATATATATTTTTAGAAACTCTCACATATTTCATGCTTTGATTATAATTCGAAACACGATTTGAATTTGCAATAGCCAACAATTTCATGAATCAACGTGTCTATTTAAAGAAGAATAATCTTGCGAATTTAGAATTCGAATAGAAACAAAGATGAATTCATTGTTCATAGAAGCAAAATATTTAACCACATAAATTGAGGTTTGAAGGTTATGATTAAATATATTTATATCCTGACAATATTATAACTTGATGTAACGTTATAATAGTTATACTGGACAGATACTTCAAATGATAATATAGGGAACATACCAAAAAGTGAACCTATTGGGTACACCAAATAAAAATTTCAGTACAATTATATAGGGGAGATATGCCTAAATGCTGGCCGATATATTTCATTAGCGTCAGGTTCGAGTTTATTATCACGATTTCCTGAGAAAACAGAATGATTACAACCGATGTCTAAATCGTATTAGAATTCCATAATTTGTAGGGTAAAACTGACTATTTCGTGTAATAACTATCCCTTATACTAGGTAGAATACTACCTTATACTATGGTAGAATACTACCTTATACTATGGTAGAATACTACCTTATACTATGGTAGAATACTATACTAATCAGCTAACTATTTTAATATAAGAAGGGGGGTTATATGGGAACTACCTCTAAAATGTTAATAATTTTTGGTAGGAAGATTTGTTAGCATATACGACTACAAAATACCAAATTACTGCGAAATATTTTGAAAAACGCGCTCAAGAACCCTAAAATACCGAATATTTAGGGTGTCTTATATGGGAGCTACCCGAAAAAATGGGACTAGATTTATAATTCTTAGTTAGGAAATGTGGTACCCAATAAAAACTTAACTCACCAAATTTTAGAGATTTCGGTTGAAAACGCGCTCAAAACCCCCAAAATACCAAAAATTGGGGGTACCGTTATATGGGGGCTAACAGAAAAAGTGAACTGATATTTATAATTTTTAGTGGAAATTTTTGGTACCCAACAAGAACCCATTGTACCAATTTTCAACGAATTGAGTTCAAAAGTGCACTCAAGATACCCAAAATACTGAAAATTCGGGGGTACCGTCATAAATGGGGCTAACAGAAAAAGTGGACATATATTTATAATTTTTAGTGGAAATATTTGGTACCCAACAATAACGCAAGGTACCAAATTTCAGCCAATTGAGTTGAAAAACGCGCTCTAGAACAATGAATACCGAAAATTGGGAGGTGCCGTTATATATATAATTTTTTAGTGGATATATTTGGTACCCAACAAGAACCCAATGTACCAAATTTCAGCCAATTGGGTTGAAAACGCGCTCAAGAACCCAAAAGCTCCCATTTAAGGCTACTCTCATATGCTGTTTGGTATACAGAGTGTCATTTCTGTTCGCATGTGTGAATCCACGTTCGTTATTGAAGAGCTCCGAGAGTTCCTTTCCGACTTTAACTGCTGACCTGGTGCCATTTAAAGTTATCCAGCATAGCCGTATTAATTTTGCAGGAATGCCGAACGCAGACCAGGCTTTAAACACCTCTGAACGGATAGGGCTGTCGAATGCGGCTTAATAGTCGACGAATATATGGAATGTGTTGATGTGTTTTTCATTGGTCTTTTCCAGGGTGAAAATTTGATCAATGGTGGATTTGCCAGGCCTGAAGCCCCATTTGTATGGTCCAATAATGTCATTGACCCTTGGCTTATCGCATATCGATGTCAAGGAAACTTATTCCCCTATAGTTGGAACATATCGTCCTGTCTCCTTTTTTGTGCACGGGACACAGGATGCACAGGAGGTTCGAATCATTGGGCATGTATTCCTCTGGCCAAATTGTACAAATCAGCTGGTACATGCTCTTGAGCAGCATCTGACCACCGGTCTTGAATAGTTCGACTGGTAATCAATCGGCACATGCTGCTTTATTGTTCTTCAGCCGATTAATTACTACTCTGACCTCATCTTGGCTAAGTGGTATACAATTTATACCGTAATCTCTTATTGGTTCTGGGATATCTTCTTCACCGTCACTATTTGATAGCAGAAGTTTTTCAAAATGCTCCTTCTGACTTCGGCACTGCCTTGCCATATTTCACAGTGGATGATGGTGTCAAAGATTTCTCAACAATCTTAGAGGACCGCCATTATCAATCCGCTTTGCTTAGACTGCTTGCAGTCTCCTCCCCCTTTGGAGGGGCGATTGTGAGATATTATCCTCCTCAATCTCTTGATTGATTCCTTGCTTTCTCATCGTCGTGAAAGATTCACCTTGATTTGGCTTATAAAATTAACATTAATATGGTATTTCATTGTTTTTGTTTTATTGCAGAATAAATTATGGCATCGAGACTATATCAAATAGGTGTGACAACCTTAAGTGCCACTATTGGTACAGTTTTGGCAACATGGACGATCGACCGTTGGAATTCACCACATACGGTATAAACTTCTCTCTAAATATTTCAAAATTCCGATACAAATCTTGTGGCCTTTTTCCATACCTTTCAGGCCATTGCCGAAATGAAGAGACCACCCAAACGTAAGCGTACCTTGGTCTCGCGTGCCGAACAAATGAAATCTCTGATGGCTGGTGAAGAATTTGATGTACTTATTATTGGTGGTGGTGCCACTGGTGCCGGTTGCGCTTTGGATGCTGTTACTCGCGGCCTGAAAACAGCTTTAGTCGAAGCTGATGATTTTGCCAGTGGTACCTCATCGCGTTCGACTAAATTGATTCATGGTGGTGTGCGTTATTTGCAAAAGGCTATTTTAGGCGTAAGTATTACAAGATAAACTGCCAAGAAAGAAAAAATCTGTAATTAAGGCTGTAGTTAAATATGCTATATAATATATAAAACAAAACCGAACCGAACTGAACAGATACAAACATATGTTAATAATATTTATTGTTGTTTTGTGTATTTTTTGTGGCTTATTGTAGTTAGATTTTGAACAATATCGTATGGTTAAGGAAGCCCTACAAGAGAGAGCAACCATGCTTGAATCGGCTCCCCATTTAGCTCATCCATTGCCTATTATGCTGCCAGTTTATCAGTAATGTCCTAAAATAGAATTTTGCTTTGGAACCGATTAGTAATTGTCTCTTTGTTTTGTGTGTGTATCCATTTAGATGGTGGCAGGTACCATACTATTGGGTTGGTATTAAATGTTACGATTTGGTTGCTGGCGATCGTAATGTCAAGAGTTCGTATTATCTATCGAAACAAGATGCTTTGGAACTGTTCCCCATGTTGAAAAGGGATAAGCTATGCGGTGCTATTGTCTATTATGATGGTAAGTAGAGTGATCTATTTTATATTTCTATAAAAAAACTGGTCATGCGGGCCCAACGAATTTTTTTCTATAGAAAAAAATGGTCCTGTGGGCCCAACGATTTTTTCTATAGAAAAAATTGGTCCTGTGTGCCCAAAGAATTTTTTGTATAGAAAAAAATGGTCCTGAGGACCCAACGAATTTTTTCTATAGGAAAAAATTAGTCCTGTGGGCCAACGATTTTTTTTTCTATAGAAAAAACGATTTTTTTCATCAACAAATAGTCCTGAGGATCCAACGAATATATGGAAAAAAATTTATCCTGATGACTTAATGAATTTTTTCTATCAATTTCAAGAACCTATTTTAACGATTCCCCTCCCCTCTCCTTATAGGTCAACAGGATGACGCCCGCATGTGTTTGGCAGTTGCCCTAACAGCTGCCCGTCACGGTGCCACCGTATGCAATCACGTCGAAGTCCTTGAGCTGCACAAGAAAAATGATGCCTCCGGCAAAAAGGTGCTGTGCGGTGCCAAAGTTAAAGATCACATGTCCGGCAAGGTGTTCGACGTCAAGGCAAAGTGTATTATTAATGCCACCGGCCCGTTCACCGACACCATTCGCAAAATGGACGATCCAACTGTCAAGACAATTTGCTGCCCCAGTTCCGGTGTCCATATTGTATTACCTGGCTATTATAGTCCCGATCAAATGGGTCTATTGGATCCATCGACGTCAGATGGTCGTGTAATTTTCTTCTTACCCTGGCAGAGGCAGACAATTGCCGGCACCACAGATCTGCCATGTGACATTACGCACAATCCCAAGCCCACGGAAGATGAAATTCAATTCATTTTGAATGAAATCAAGAATTATCTCAATGCCGATGTTGAGGTGAGACGTGGTGATGTGCTGTCCGCCTGGAGTGGTATTCGTCCATTGGTGTCAGATCCCAATAAGGATGATACCCAGTCGTTGGCTCGTAATCACATTGTCCATGTCAGTCCATCGAATTTGATTACCATTGCTGGTGGCAAATGGACAACATACAGGGCTATGGCGGAACATACTGTGGATGCGGCCATTAAAGGTGGGTAATTAAGAGGCAATCTAGGAAAGATAGGTAATATTACTTGATTTTATTTCGGTTTTAGCTTGTAATCTGAAACCAGAACGTCCTGAAGCTGTTACCTCCTACTTGAAGATTGAGGGCGGCCAGGGTTGGACCCCAACCATGTACATCCGTTTGGTACAAGATTTTGGATTGGAATGCGAAGTTGCCCAACACTTGGCCAAGTCATATGGTGATCGTGCCTTTGCTGTGGCCAAAATGGCCTCCCTAACTGGCAAACGCTGGCCCATCATCGGTAATCGCATCCATCCCGATTTTCCCTATATTGATGCTGAAATCCGTTATGGTGTCAGGGAGTATGCCTGTAATGCTGTGGACATGATTGCACGCCGATTGCGTTTGTCATTCCTTAACGTGCAAGCTGCCCAGGAAGCCCTGCCGGTTATTGTCGATATTATGGGTGAGGAGTTGAAATGGTCGAAGGATGAAAAAGAGGTAGATGAGAGAGCAGAATTAAATAATATCAGAGGTTTCTTGTATAGCAAGTGTTTGTGTTCTTTTTTTAGAAACAAATTAAAGCCGCCTCGGAATTCTTGGCCGGCGAAATGGGTCTGATGGTTAATCGTGCCACTAAGGAGAGAATACAAATTAAATTGTCCAAGGAAGAAATTCAGACATACATTAAACGCTTCCAACTTATTGATAAAGAAAACAAGGGTTATGTTTCGATCAATGATATTCGTCGCGCCCTTAAGGTAAGTTAGGAGAAAATCGGGAGTTTAATTTTCATTTAGACGGTATTTGGGAAGGTGGTCCTGAGGTCCTAGGGGTCCAACAATTTTTTTCTATTGAAATAAATGGTCCTGAGGGTCCATCGAATTTTTTTCTATAGAGAAAAATTGGTCCTAAGGGTCCATCGAATTTTTTTCTATAGAGAAAAATTGGTCCTGAGGGCCCATCGAATTTTTTTCTATAGAGAAAAATTGGTCCTGAGGACCCATGGCATTTTTTCTATAGAGAAAAATTGGTCCTGGAGTTCCATTGAATTTTTTCTATAGAAAAAATTGGTCTTGAGGGATCAACGAATTTTTTCTATAGAAAAAAATGGAACTGAGGGTCCAAGGATTTTTTTCTATAGAAAATATTGGTCCTGAGGGCCAACGATTATTTTTTCCTATAGAAAAAAATTGGACCAGAGGGACCAACGATTTTTTTCTATAGAAAAAAATTGGACCAGAGGGTCCAACGATTTTTTTCTATAGAAAAAAATTGGACCAGAGGGTCCAACGAATTTTTTTCTGTAGAATAAAATTTTACCTGAGGACCCAACGAATTTTTTTCTGTAGAAAAAAATTGTAACTGAGGGCCCAACGATTTTTTTTCTGTAGAAAAAAATTGTACCTGGGGGCCAATCGAATTTTTTTCTATAGAAAATTGGAAATGGAAGGCCAACGATTTTTTTTCAACAAAAGAAAAAATTGGTCCTGAGGTACCATCGAATTTTTTTCTATAAAAAAATTGGTGTAGAGGCCAACGAATTTTTTCTATAAAAAAATGACCCTGATGGCCCAGCAATTTTTTCTTTTATTGTTTTTGACAAAAATTGTTCTTTTTAAAAGGTCGAATTTTTTTCTATTGAAAAAATTTGTCCAGAGGGCTCAACAAAAATGATAAAACCCTTTTTAGTTTAGGATTTTGAAAATTCAATTGAAAAAAAATTTTATTTTTGCCACAGAACTTTGGTGATGGTGATATTTCCGGTGAACAATTGCATGAAATCCTTAGAGAAATCGATACCAACATGAACGGTCAGGTTGAACTGGATGAATATCTTCAGGTAATTTTCGATTTTTGAATTTTTTTATTAAATTTTAATAAAAAAATTTATTTGGATTTCAGATGATGTCGGCCATTAAAACTGGTGCTGTGGCATATTCACGCTTTGCCCGTTTGGCTGAAATGGAAGATCAAAAACAAGAAGCCCAGGCCCTTAAGCAAAAGATCAGTGTTGATCGTTCGGGTGGTGGCTTGTAAACGACAGCAACAAAAACAACAAGAAACTCATCATTAGTAGATTAGGCTTTACAAAAACAGTTCAATTTGTTTTCTTTACAACAACAAAAAACAGAATAAGGATTTCTACAAAATTTGATATTAGTAAGATAGTTAATTTATTTTCCAAAAAAAAAAAAAGAAACAAAATCAAAAAATTATGCTCGATAGTTATGAAATCAATCACACGTTTTGTAGCTAGTTTCAAATAAAATAAATATTCAATTTACACCCTAAAACAATTTACCTAAACTGCATTGCGAATATCAATACACCACCTCAAATTATAAAAAATTTGAACGAATCGAACCGAACGAACCCCACCCACCACACACCATTTTAAAATTTTTTTTGAGTTTTCTTTAAAATTGTCATTTAAAATATTTTTTAATATTATTAATTATAATGCTGTTCAAAGTTCTATTTGCGGGAGAAAATATTGCAAACAAGCAACAAAACGTATCATTAAGTATATTAAAAAAAACAACAACAACAAAAACGAAATTAAATTATAAAAACACAAAAAAAACAAAAAAAGTAAATAAACGGTAAAAATAATTATATGTGATTTTCTTTAGATCAAATCGATTGGGAATATATATGGAAGCTATAACTAAATCTGAACCGATTTCAGCGAAATCTGGCGCACGTCATTGTAGCGTCAATTGGATACTATATACCGAATTTATTCGTAATCCAACAAATTTTAGGCTAATTCGTGCTCAATTTGCAAGAAATCGATCGGAAATATATATGGAAGCTATAGCTAAATCTGAACCAAATTCAACCAAACTTAGTACACTTCATTGTAGCCCCAATTAGATGCTCTATACCAAATTTCATCGCAATCGAATAAATTTTGACTACTTGGTGCTCAATATGCATAAGATCGATCGGAAAAAAATATGGAAGCTATAACTAAATATGAAATTATTTCAACCAAACTTAACACACAATATTGTAGCCCCAATTACATGCTCTATACCAAATTTCGACGCAATCTAACAAAATTTAGTCTAAATGGTGCACCCTTTTGATGAAATCGAACGTAAATATATATGGGAGCTATATAAATTTGAACCTAATTCAACCAAACTTAGCACACTTCATTGTAGCCCCAATTGGATACTCTATGTAAATTTTCGTCGAAATGAAATCTATCGGAAAAATATGTGGGAGCTATAACTAAATCTGAACCAATTTCAGCGAAACTTAGTGTACGTCATTGTAACCCCAATTGGGAACTCTATGCCAAGTTTTGTCGCAATCGAACAAATATTGGCAACTTGGTCCTCAATTTTCATGAAATCGATCGGAAATATATATGGAAGCTATAGCTAAATCTGAACCTAATTCAACAAAACTTAGCACACTTCACTGTAGCCCTAATTGGATGCTCTATGCCAAAATTCGTCGCAATCGAACAACATTTTGGCTACAATAGATGTTCAAGTTCCACAGTTGGTCCGAGTCTACTGGACGTCTTGCGCGTTGATACCATCAGCTTGGTCTTCTCGGCGTTTACTGCCAGACCCACTTTGGCAGACTGCTTCTCAATTTGTTCAAAGGTGGCTGTTACCGCTCTCAATGTTTGACCCATTATGTCGATGTCATCAGCGTAGGCGAGTAACATGTGTTGTTTGGTGTACAGAATGCCATTTCTGTTCACTTTTGCCTCTCGTATGACCTTTTCCAGCAGGATGTTAAAAAGGTCACACGACAAACTATCACCTTGTCTTAATCCTCGTTCGGTATTAAAGGGCTCCGAGAGGTCCTCTCCTATTTTAACTGCTGATCTTGTGTCTGTTAAAGTTATCCTGCATAGCCAAATTAATTTTTGCAAGAATGCAAAACGCAGACATGGCTTTATACACCTCTGAACGGATAGGGCTTTCGAATGCGGCTTTACAGTCGACGAATATGTGGAATGAGTCGATGTGCTTTTCGTGGGTTTTTTCCAGGATTTGGCGCAGAGTGAAAATCTGGTTAATGGTGGAATTGCCGGGTCTGAAGCCACATTGGTATGGTCCAAAAATGTCATTGACCATTGGCTTCAGTCGTTCACACAGTACGCTGGATAGCACTTTATATGCGATGGGAAGAAGACTTCTGACTTCTATATGAAGATTTTCAGTACCATTTATCAGAAGATCTTTTAGTATTCTATGACTAGAAAACTTCTGATTGTCTATGAGTTGAACTTCTGTGAAAAGAACTTCTAATAAAAGAACCTCTCATAAAATACTTTCAAAAATTTTATAACATAGTATTTTGGTCTTGCATAAGATGGGCTTTCGATTTGACTTAAATACAACTATTTATATCTGCAGACTTAGTCTTGACCAGCGTCGAGCAGTGAGTCACTTAGTAGCTCTTTTTTATATACAATTTTTCGTTGATTGAGAGAACGTGACTGTTTTTTGCCCACTATGGCGCCTGTCTAAACTTCACAGTTGCAGTAGTTTTGTTATTCTTATTTATCTCCCAATATAGACATATTGCATACTGTTGCCACCAGACAGAATAACAAATTGCATTCAATTCTGTGATGCAACCAAATCAATGGATGATGAAAAGATTCACATAGAAGGGTTGAGGCCCTGATAACAATATTACCTAAAACTTGTGTCAGTTCATTTTGTTTAATTCATCTGCATAATGATAAAAGTTAAACAGAGCCAGTATAAACTCCAAATTTTTAATGTTCCTCCTTCTCCAGATATTACCAAATACACAGTTGTTTAGTTATTTAGCGAATTTCCCTTCGAGGGTATGGTAATACAATCCACTTAATATAATGCCTGTAGGTGATTATTGATTATTGGAAAATAACTCTTGGAAAAAAATTCCCTCTTTTTAAAGTTGCTCAGAAAACATATACCTATGGTCTGTTCCCGTACTGCAAGAATCTACTAATTTTGACTATTTTTTCCGATATCATAAAGGAAAAAATGTTATCGTAGTAAAAAATTGTACATTCTTGCAGCTTCAGGAACAGACCACTAATATTTGGTCTGTTCCCGTACTGCAAGAATCTACTCGATTTTACTATTTTCTTCGATATCATAAAGAAAAATTCGTTATCGTAGTAAAAAGTAGTAGATTCTTGCAGTACGGGAACAGACCAATTAATGTTCTGATAATCGATAAAAAATATTAAAAAAACGCACACATCAAGATCTGTTAATAGGCCATTTATAGGCCATGGCACACATAAAAATAGAAAAAGTCACCAAATTTTAAAAAGCTGAGTCATAATATACACAGTTGTTTTTGTACTTGAAATTTAAAAACCGTCAAAATGACTGCTCTCGGCAATCTAGTGTTAATTAGGTAGCCGCATCGGCCCAGCTGTTGGACAAATAAATGTCAAAAATGTTGTTGTAATGTTGAACCAAAAAATTAAAAAACAAAATTATGAATGAAAATCTCCGAATTTCGAAGAGCTTTTTTGGCAATACTTTTATTAACATTTTCTACAAGAATTTGTGTAAAAAAATCTTGTCAATCTATTTGTTTTGGCAAAATATTTTTGACATATCAAAATACAACAACCGATGTTTGTTGTAGAAATTCGCCGATGCGGCTACCTTGTATATCTACCTTGAAAGAAACATAAACATCAATACAGCTGATGTGAAAAATATTCAGTCGTAAAGAACACTTCGTTCGAACAACAAATATCGACGAACACGGCCGGAGGAGAAGTCTTACAATAACAATGTCTGCAGCAAAGCTAAAACCGAATTTGGAATCGATTTTAACGGATATCAATCAATTCATCAATATTGATCGGGATCGTGAAATCTATGCAAACCATTTTGAAAAATTAAAAAATGCGATCTTTGAACGTCTACGTAGTACAGAGCCTTTTGGGTATCTCTTTAACGGCTATCAACTGGGAGGTGAACAACAGAACACGAAACCAAAAAAAAAAAAAAAAAAAAAAAAAACATACAAAATACAAGAAAAACAAGTTCTAATGTGGTGCCACATATTTTGAAAATTGTTTATACAGTCAACTCCGCTTTACTGTGAGTCGCTTAAGTGAAAAATATCGGATAAGTGAAATAGATTTCCTGCACCATTTCTTTTTTGTTTAATCGTTCATAATTTACTCCGCATAACTGAAAATATCGGATAACTGAAATAGCTTTTTTAGTCAAATATTACAATTTCCTTTCGAATCACTCGGCATTACTGAAAGCCTTCAAATGATAACCAAATTCTATATAGGAACATTGTAAAAACATGAATCTATTATGAAGAAATTTTTAGTCACACACAACCGCTTATTGCATATTACAGCCAAGTCAGCTGAAAAAAATAAAAAAAAATCGGCTAGTATCGTTATATGAAACCTTTTCAAAGACATGGTCCGATATTTTGCATTTTTGAAATCATTCCATCTAAGATCTATCATAAATATTATATTATAGAACAATTAATATTTATGGACTTCGTTACAAGCCGCACATTTTAATAATACGCATAAAAAGACAGTTCATGATACAAATCCCAAAAGAAGTGAACATGTCCACCAGTTTTAATTTCTATCGTGTATTTTCGTAAAATTCGAAAAATATGGATTATTGAAATTCTTAAAACTGTGAATTTGTTCGCTTATATGAAATTCGGATAACTGAAATTATTTTCAGTTAACCGAACTCGGCTTAATTGAAAACATCGGATAATTGAAACAAACATCCGGATTTTTTTCCATTTCACTAAAGCGGAGTCTACTGTACGCCTATTTAAAAAATACACACCTATGTTAAGGCTTAAAAAATTTAAAAAATAATCCACGTCTATGTTTAGGTATTGAAAAACTATTTTAAAAAAATCCAGTTCTATGTATGGGCTTTGAAAAAAAATATTTTTAAAAATGTCTCGCCCCAGGCTGGTGGTCATTGAAATATTATGACTATAAAATCAATAAAATAAAATCTGGCAACACTATGATTTCATATCAACGTGTGGGAGATTAGGAGCAGGGGTATTATATATAAGTATACAGTACTGCGCAAAACAAAAGCAACAAAATATATTGAAAAAATAAAAATCGTATATTTCATGTAATTTCCAGGGCACAAAAAAAAAAGAATATACATAAATTAAAGTTACATTGGTACAGCATAAAAAGCAAAAGTTATATTCTATTAATGTCATACATTTTTGATGTAGAACGAAAATAACATGTTAGTCGAAAATTTTGTGTGTGCAAAACAAAAGCAATATATTAATATTTGGTATAAGAACCTTTATTTTTTATCACTTCTGCACATCTCCGAGGCATATACTCTATTAAATTATGTATAATGGCTTCAGGTATGTGTGGATTTAAGTCTGGCGATTGTGCCGACCAATCCAGGACTTTAATTCCATGTAGCTGATATGTAGTCTTTAACAACTTTCGAGGTGTGTTTCGGGTGGTTGTCGTGTTCTAGTGGCATATTCCACTCTGCATATGGAAGCATTTGATTTTCCAAGATACCCTTATACACAAAACGATCCATAATTCCATCGATTCTATGAAAAGGGCCAACGCCACAATGCGAAAAGTAATTATGTATAATGGCTTCAGGTATGTGTTCCCAGTTCTCTTTAAGGGCTTCGAATAATGAATTCTTATTGGAAAACTTCTGACTCTTCTTCAAAATCCCAAAGAGATTTTCGATCGGATTTATCTCCAGCGATTGTGCCGGCCAATCCAGAACTTTAATTCCATTTGCTGATATGTAGTCTTTAACAACTTTCTAGATGTTTTTCGGGTCGTTGTAGTGTTGAAGTGGCATATTCCACTCTGCATATAAAACGATCCATAATTCTATGAAAAGGGCCAACGCCACTATGCGAAAAGCAAGTCCAGACCATAATACCACCCCCTCCGTGTTTAAAATTGATTTTACAATTTCCTGGCTCAGGTCGTGTACCTGGACGACGACGTACAGTACACATTCCATCGGAATTGATCGAATTAAACTTGGACTCGTCGTTGAACAAAACGATTTTCCACTTTTGGATGGTCCAACCAATGAGTGCTTTTGCAAAATTAAGCCTAAAAATTACTAAAATGAAATATATAACCAAAAATTTTAGACAATTACGTTTAACATGTAACACCAACCTTTGCTGCTTATGTCTGGCTGTAAGTAGGGGTTTCTTGCCAGGTCTATAAGTTTTTAAATTATTTTCGATTGCTCGTCTGCGAACTGTGCTATGGTGGATACTTAAATTGGGGGTCTTTACAACCTCTTGAGATGTTCAAATGGATTTTTTTTTAACATGAAACAAACTTTTCTTTCGTCACGTGCCGATGTCTTTCGTTGCCGCCCACCTTTTGTATTAGTCTACAAATAACAGACCGGTTAATATTAAACTGTTTGGCAATTGATATTTGTGATTTTCCATTCCTTTATTCAGAAATAATTTGAGATTTTAAGTCTGTACAATATTTATTTCGATCCATCACAAAATGAACAGTTAATGCGAAGGTTTTGGCCAAAAACTAATGCAAAAATTGCTAAATTTCTTTTGTCATTAATATTTTCGATTAGTTTACACTATTTGCATTCTTCATGATTTGTTGCTATTTTTTTGCACTCTCTTTTTGTAACGATCCACGGTCATCGTCTCATTTGTAACATTACTGTACCTTAAAAGCTAAGAGAACTTAATTAGAATTATTCTCATAACCATAGAAGAAAAAAATATATGTACACATAAAATAAGATAAATGTTGATTCACATTTTGTTGCTTTTGTTTTGCGCAACACTGTAATTCAGTTTTATTAAATTACAACAATTTATTATGCGATATTTAATAGTTTAATAGATTGCTTTCCGAAAAAAATGTCTGACTTAAAATAATAAATAACATTTCTAAACAGTGTATGTCGTCTCATTGGTCTAAATTACGACTGGTCAGGAAGCAAAAAAAAAAAAAAAATTGGGAGCGGCACGCATTCCCCACACAAAATTAAATGGTAAACAATAAGGAATCCAACTCTCTGTTATACTCTTCAACCAATATCCCCAATGGAATGGAATAAAGAAAAGTAAACAAATAATTGTGGCAAAATTGGTTCTAGGAAAATATAAAAAAAAATCAGCAAATCTTATCACAAATAAACAATCCATATACCAATTACATACATACGTGATCGAAGCGACCACAATTCAATAACATTTCGTACCACTTGACAAATTTGGAATTCATAAAATCACAACCATTGTCTCTCACATATTTCGCAGAAAGATATATTGTTTGCCTTAAAGGGAGAATAAATTATATAAATATATATAGAGGATTAGTCATATATTCTTTGTAATAATGAGTCTCTAGTACATGCAAATATTAGAAGCCATTCTAAAAAAATATATATTTTTATTGGTCTGCTAGGCTTTTAAAAATATATACGCTGTAGACCATGGTACAATTATAAAAGGTAACAGGAAATCCCAGCTGATTTGATTCCAACGTAATACTAGTGTCAATATGAATTTGACAAAGTATGTTTTTAAAAATCACCCAACAGGAAAATTGGGAACGCATTCAATTCGAATTTGTTCTGTATTAAATGTCCTCCCGTATTCAATTTACTCAATCTGCCTGCTGGGAAAGTTTGAGGAAGCAAATCTTTCTTCAAGGAACAACTCGCTATTCCCAGCATTTGCATATGTGTTACACATATATATGGCAATGGCTCAATTATAGGAAAGATGTGGAAGCGATAGAAATATACATTTTATAGATTTTCATTCATGTTTTTCAATTTTTATTTTGAGGATTCAAAAATATTTCATTTTCAAAATAAAAATAATTTAATGATAATTTGTTTGTTTGTTTACATTTACAGTTGACACTAGTAGAACTTACAACAACAAATTTCCATGTGGTTGTTGTATCGTTTTTTGTACAACAACACTTGCTGTTACCTTCTATTATTATACCATGGCTGTAGACAAAGTCTGAATACAATGTCAAAATATGTTTTCAAGTTCATTACATAGTCGTGGAATTTGTACAAATATTTTTCAAATATTTTTAAAAACCTAGCAGACCAATAAAAAAAAAAAAAATATATATATATATATATATATATTTAGAATGGCTTCTAATATTTGCTCGGACTAGAGACTAGTTATTACAAATAATGACTAATCGTATAACAGGCTTGGATTTTTTTTTAATATTTTTTTAGCGCCCCAACATAGGCATAACATCGGTTTGGATTTTCTAAAAATAATTTGTCAATAGCCTGACACAGTCATGAATTTTTTAATATTCGGATTTTTAAATTATTTTTAAGGTCTTTACTTGGGTGTGGATTTCATTAAATTATTTTTAAAAAAAAATATATTTCCAGGAAGTTATGGTGACAATTTAAAAGTCACCGTACCCAATGAATTCGACCTGGTCTTCCATATACGTTTCCCTGAAAATAAGCTTATTATCGTTAGAGAAGATCCCGAGTTAGCGGGTAATGTTCATTTGGACTTTACCAAAGTTTTGGCAAAAATACACCGCGAGAAACAACATGCAACCACGTATACATATCTCTGCAAATGGTTGGATGACGATAATTGTTTGATCGTAAACAAATTACAATCATATATTCAAAGTTGTTTTACCAAAGCCCTCGAGGATATGGATTGGCATTTCGACAATATAAAATTACGTTACCATCGTGAAGGACCAGCGCATACAATTAAAGTAAACGGCTTGACTATGGAATATTCGGTGGATTTTGTACCCGGTATATTGATGGATCAGGAGCAAAGTGTTACAAAGGCTAATGTTGGCCAATGGGAAGCCATACCGAAACCAATTAAGTGGGCCGACTGGGATCACACATCGTTTCGATCGTCATTTTATCGGCAGGAACAGAATCTAATAAAAGACTGTAACAATTTGAAGAATTGTTTGCGTATGATAAAAAAATTTCGTGATGCCCATTCGAATATGAGCTGTATGAAGAGTTATTTTATCAAAACATTATTTTTGTGGAAAGTCCAGGAGAAGCAGAACAAAAGCTATTGGAATAATTCATTGTCAGTTATAATATTGGATGTAAGTTGAAATAGGAGAATATATTTTGAAAACCGTTTGGGATTTGTTAAGATTGTAAAATCTGGTCGTGGACAAATATGTATTGAACATTTCCCTACCCGAAACTCAAATGCCAAATTACCATAGTGGACTACTTTAGTCGTCTGTAGCCGTTTCATTTGATCTGCCAACAAAAATCTGCATATATAACTACATTATTTCGTTTCTTTTTTTTTTGTGTCTAACAATATCTCACTTGTCATCTAGATGTTCATAGCCATGGAGAATAGTCTAAGATCGGAGGAATTGCCATTCTTTTGGGATAGACGCTTAAATATGTACCAAGAATTGTCTTCGTTCAATTTGAGTGAAATGTTACGATGTGTTCGTAATGCCCGAATCTTTTTGGAAAAAGCCAAAATGGAAATAACACCATTAACACAAAGTCTTGTCTATGAAATATTCTGTAGGTTTATTAATAATCACCAACCTTAAAATAACCTCAAAAAATACAAAAAAAAAGAAAATTATACTAAACTAAATACCCGTTTATATTTTACAGTGAATTACCATGAAAGACATCCTGAAATGAAACCTGAGAGTAATTATGGAGGAAATGATATGGATTCTAACTTAGATGAACCTGTCGCTGAAAGTTCCTGTGTTATTCTATAGAAGTTATTGATTTTTTTAAGAAAAAAAGGAAAATCAAAACACACACACACATTTCCATTCAATAATGTATATTTTAAAATGTATTCTTAAATATCTTGAAAAGAACGACCTTAAGATGCTGAAGATACTTTTTCTATACATATGGATTGATATATTTATTCAAGTTATTTCTGTAAAGGTTTTTTTTAATATAATTTTGTGGATTTTTTAATAAATATTTTTTTACATTTTAATAAATTTTTCAAAACCCCAATATTAGGTTGAATTTTTTTAGAAATACTTTTGCAACACCTAACGATATGCGTAGATTTTAAACATTTTTCACTGTCCTTACATTGACGTAGACTTTTTAAAAATATTTTTTCAATAACCGAACTAGGCCTGCATTTTCTAATGCCCTAACATAGGCGTGGATTTTTTTTTTTTTAAATTATTTAATTTAAAAATGTATATTTTTTCCAGTAGTGGATTCTTCTATGAGATAACTATTTGGTCTGCCTTCTGTTCTTCTAGGCTCCAGTAAAAAAAAAAATATCTATTGGCCTCCTATATGAACACCTTCTGGCCTTCTATTTCAGTTTTTTTTATCATTTTTTATTTATTTATTAGTCTATGGATATTTTCCTTGCAGACTATATAATACAAAATGTTGTACTTAATTTCATGAATTTAAATACATTACAATTTTACTTTTCAATGTTTCACGATTCATAGAAAAATCAATAAGATTATATAATTCATTTAAATCGTTAGACATTCTTGTTAAGGGATCTGCATTTGAATAATTCATTCTAGAAAATTGAATAGCTAGTGGTACATAATTGCAAGTAGCTCTTTGGGGAATATTGAAGCAAATATTGTTGATTAAAACTCCAGCATTGACGTCACCCATTATTACATTAAACACAAATGATACATTCATCATTTTCCTTCGGCTTTTTAAAGATGGCAGCTTGATGAAGGAAAGTTTATCTGTATATGATGGAAGATTATGATTCAAGAAGTTTAAGTTCCGTAAATAGAAAAGTAGAAATTGCTTTTGAACGGACTCGATGCGATCACTGTGTGTAATATATATATATATATATATAGGATCCCATATGATCGAAGAGTATTCCAGTATAGGGCGAACGAGCGTTGTGTATACATTTTTGTGACATGAAATCTTTACTCCACCGTTTAATAAACCCAATCACTGACTTGGCTTTGTTTATTGTTATTTAAATGTGAGAATAAAAATTCAGTTTACGAACCAAAAGAACTCCTAGATCCACAAACTCATTAACCAGAGAGTAGCCGTTAAGTGTATAATCAGTATCTATTAACCTCTTTCTTGTAAATCTCATGAGTTTGCATTTCGAGTAATTTATTTTCATAAGGTTAATATTATACCAATTCGTAAACGAATTCAAATCATTTTGTAACAAATCATTACGTGAGATGTCTGAAATACTGAGAAATAATTTCGCATCATCGGCATACATCAGGATATATGAAAACTTTATAGTTTGAGGTAGGTCATTTATGAATAAAGAAAATAGAAGAGGACCTAGATA